ATGACCACATAGTAGGTCGAAAGCTCATATGAAATAAAATTCAAGATCTCTAAAATACTAGCTGCATTTATTCTTTATTACTTACATATTTACAAATGCCCATAAAACTAAATTTGTCATCTGTAGTCGATGATTGAGATAGGATTAGAAAGGAATGAAGTTGCTATGAATGTGTCAGAATAGAATGTGGATAAATATAACAATCTATTAGAACGTCTGGCTACTCATTACGACTATTATTCTTCTCTAATGAGATTACATTATAACACTTTCATCGGTGTATGATTAATTAATATACATCAGTACCGGCCTGCTTTACATGACAATGTTCAGTATTCGTCTGCTCGTGAGCGGAAAAAAGTGACTGATTTGTCACTCTCGCTCATACCTATTTGAGATATAAATAGATCACTCTTAACGCACGTCTATTACAAATCACTATTTATACTAACAAAATGATTTCAAAATGCACTGTTTGCTCTAATCGGAAGGATCGATCTAAGACTGTTTCTTTTCATCGTTTTCCAACAGATAAAAATCAACAATACCAGTGGCTCAAGCGTCTTAGCCGATTCAATGTGAAAGATGTTGCGAACAAAAGAGTTTGTGATCTCCATTTTCACGCGTCATCATATTTAATCGATTTAACCAAGAAGAACAATGACAATGATACACAAAAATAAAAAAGAACGACTGAAGCCAGGAGCTTTACCAATCGAATGCGATTCTCATTCACGAATAATTAATAGCGAAACTCAAACCGATCTCAACATGATCTCTTCTCAACTGTTTTCGAAAAACTTACACTCTTCGAATAAAAGATTATCACTTCTACCATGTCTGTTGAACGTTTTCAAGATGATGATTACAATATCAACTATTTCACAGGGTTTCGCCCTTGCAAGTTTTTCAAAATGGTGTTCGAACTATTGGAGGTAATAAACAATAGAAAAGAAAAAAATAAATGAATGAATCTGTGTTGGCCACAAGATAGCTGAAATCGTGATCAACAAGCGAATTGTGAATATGGCTCATTCGAGACATTTCAATAACTTCATAGACAATAATTGCTCTAATTATACTCTTAAATGCAGTTTTTCATGAACTTTAATTTGATATGAAATACTTTGTGATGTCATTTATACTTTAAGTTGCAGAGAGGCATAATGGTTTTGCAAGACCCTGTAGCAGTGAGTTTGATTTACCATGTTCTCGATTTCGATTTCGCTGTGTGATTTTTTCATCATATTATGGTTTGTTTTGAAGTACGTAGGAGTTATTGGATTTTTTTTCGGTAACAATACAATTCTCGTCATGGGCGGCGTAAGCTCAGAGTTTTAGGAGAAGCAATAAGCTTTAGAATGACATTATTCCTCTCCACCCACAGTGAACAGCCAGCCGACAAAATCGATTTTCGAGATTTAAACCCATATCGTAGCTAGCATTGAAGCTAATATGGCCTTGCAGTTAACTACATCCTGGATAATGATTGAAAGCAAGTATTTGCTAAGCTGCAGGTACCACAACGTACATAAAGCAGGTAATTATCACTAATATGACCACATACGTAACAAGTACGCTTTAAATTGGAGATCTAGTTATATTCATCAGTTATTATATAGTCATATAGTGTTATATATTTACTGTATATTACAGATCACTTCGACTTTCTGAAGTTCTTTATGGTCTAATGAGATCAAAAGCATACGCCCAGTATATTGAAAAATGGCTAGTAGCCAATAATACAATTAGTTTGCCGGATTTTCCCGGAGCTTCTATTCAAGTTTTAATTTTTTATTTGATAGAGTATCTCATCATCTATCCCCAGTGGATGCTCAAAGATGTGTACTTAAGCTCTTGTTGAGATATAGTACCTCAAATGTAACCTTCGATACAGGTCCATTCGGAGCAACTTGTACAATAATTACTTACACTACTGCAGAAAAGTATCCCCTTCGCTCGGATCTCAGTCACTAGAAGAGCTGGGGTATTGAAAATGTGTGGATATAGTTGTTGATGAATATAGATCAGCACCAAAACTCACATCCCAATTGCTAGAGGCACCAGAGAGTTATAACGCATGCAGTTTGTCTCCATTGTGAACCTCATAACTTAGGAAATAAAAGACTTTATGAGTTGAGACTTTTCTCATTTTGTAGCTCTATACTCTGACTATCCATGGTAAAAATTCCATTGAGAGTTCATCGAGCCATTGTGGAGCTATAACAATTTTACTGTAAACATCGATGTACAAAACAACAGTACGATCTCGTTATGTAGTCATTATTGAATGAAAGTTTGACCGATCCACTTGATACTTAGAGAAAATGCTCTGCTACAGTTGCTCATTGGCCAAATAATGGCAACCGTGGAATTAATTCATTCTGAAGATTTCAGCTTGTGGCGTTGCTTCTGTCGTACAACACTAATATTGAAAAATATGTTATGTGAAAAAGCAAATTTTGTCGTTATATATGTATCTCACGAAAGCAAGAACAAAAAGTGCTGAAACTTTCACAATGAGTTAGTCTTATGAAGAGCATGATTTGTGCAAAGTTTCAATCTGAAACTCGAAAGTCAACTTTCAACGTGATATGAGGAAAACTATGGAGTTTTTCTAGAAAGAATCAGTAAAAAATCTATTTCTCAGAAATTCTACGACTAAAAGAGGATAAATAGGCATAGATAGTCAGCATCAAGTGTGCATCATAATTACACAAGATACCAAATTAATAGCTACAGTAATTGTAGAAATTGATCCTGGTATGCTTTTTCTGTTCATTGTGCCCTCAGTCATAGTTTAAAACTCGGCAGCAGAATTTTTTTTTGAAATGAATTTCTGAACGACATAGTATCGGATGCGTGCGCATTAATTCATTTGATAGCATGTTAAGAGTTTGAGGGTAGTGCAACGCTTTTTATCGAAAACATATGTATTCAGAACGAGTTAGCAAAGCTCAAGTTTTCTTATTATTACCTTCTACTCACCAATCATTGGGTTTTCGAGTTGATACTGATGCTAAAGATTGTCTACCATTTCAACAGCTGCTCCTTCTTGATGAAATTATAAGGGTAAGAACCAATTGAACATATTGCGGTCTTCTTATTCAAACTATTTACTTAACTATTTATGTTAGCAGCTAGCTTATCTCTTTTATGAGTACGTTCTTATACGATGATTATGGACGAAAGTAGAAAGAAGTCCAAATTTAAGTTACCTGATAATCAAAAGTTCAGAAAATGTGGAGAAATAACATACATGGATGAAACATGAATAATTATGGGAAGCAATTGCTAACTGGCTGCTTGCTAGTGCACCACCCACGATCCTCGTTAACATCGATATTGTTTTACTTTTTCATGTTACTCTATATTTAGCTCATGAAAGAATCTGAAATGAAAAAAAAAAAGGTGAATAAATGGAAGCTATTTCCTTCTTATTCATATTACT